TAAAAAATATAAAGATTTTTCGCAGCCACTAAAACCCTTTCGAACTAATTACTACTTATAAATTGTTTAAGTGTTTTGAACATTAGGGGTCAGTGCAGATAAGGAGGTAGGGGGAGCAGTCATTAGTATGTCTTCTACTAAAGTGCTCCATTATTTTTCCATGCCTCATTACACATGTCTCAGGCGACGTCTCAGGCTGCCCAAAACCCGTCATTTATGTAAACCAATTCCATTCAAACTTGCCCACGTAATGTTTTGACAATTTATCATATTTTACCGTTGTTAGCATTTCTTTGTATTGTTTCCAAAGTTGCAAAGGAGAGAGTTTGGATAGGCTTACCCCCAAAGCAAAATGTAGTCGGTGCAATTGGTTTATTTCGTTGAGAGTCTATATGGGTGCTAAAACCTTGCTAACCAATCGTGGCCCCCGTAAGTACGACTTCCAACCCGCACCATAGCTGGAAATAATTTGTATAGTAAACCATTTTCCCTGTCAATGCGTGTTTTTATTATATGACGAAGTTAGTTCAGAGGGCTAATAACTAAAATCAACCAATCAGATTTTTAATTGTTCCATTGCCGGTCCAATATTCTCGAAGTGACCGGGCACTGTCCCGAATGATCCCGGGCGATCACTCTTGAAGATTTTCAGTAGTTTTATGACTTACGTTTCTGAAAGAACTTGCTTCAGCATAAAATACTCCTTTTCTTTTGCTTCTAACTCTCTTTCTTTTCTGGTGTGTTTAACTTTAGACGTGAGTATACGTCTAGTCGGCTCCCAATCAAATTGCCCGCTTAAAGCTTGCGATGTTGTTCCAGTCAGTGATCGTAGCATTTTTTTCTTAACAGACCTGGGGCCGATATTCTCTTGGTACAGTCCTCGCGCTTGGCTAATAAGATTTATTTAGTGTCTTAACGAAAAACCAATTTATGCGAGGCAAGATTTTGCAAAGGCAGAGGGTTGTACATGTAATATAAGACAGAGAGGGAAATGGTAGCACGCTTTGCCGAAGGGGAGGTGGGATGGGAGGGAAAAAAATTCTGCTACTCAGAACGGCGTAATAAACTTGGCAAGAAATACTAAAAACCAGAAGTAGAATTTACTTAACTAAGTAGATAAGATGACATTGATTCCGAACAAAACCCATTTTCTCTTGTTCAGAAGCACTGAGGCGTTACAAACGTAAACATATAGGTTGCACGTGGGTTATATTCGCGGTTAATTAGACAAGAAGAATAGCGGTTCACCAAAGGTTAAGCAGTTCCACACTTCGCCGGAGAAAATTAACAAACGCAGCTTTCTACGGTTAGACCTACCGTCCACACTAATCCGTCACGAAAACGCAGCTTTCCGAAAACGCTCTTCAAACTGAAGAAATTTGAAAACGCCGGACTTTCGTTTTCGTGTGGAAGGAAAACATTTTGAAAACGGAGCTTTTCGAAAACGATGGCATCACGATAATCATGTGATTTCCCTGACAGAGTTTTCCTCAAAAACAAATCCAAAATCACCCTGCAATTGCAAGCAGAGCCTTTTCTTACGGTACATATGCTTTGTAAATAAACGATAAAGCAAAAAGAGAGGCTCTGCTCGCAGGGTGATCCATTTAAATTCCTCCGGCGTAGTGTGGACGGAAAAACTTGATGCGTTTTCGGAGAACGTGAAACCTCCGTTACGTTTTCAAATTACACCGGCGTAGTGTGGGTGCGGGGCCTAATATATTAATTGTCCTTTCCCTTTTTATAGCCTCCATAGAGTTGCCGCTGACATGGCCATCGAAGCTACCAGTACCTTTCTAAGTGACGTTCGTTCTGCAGTTGGCGACGACACCTTCGCCAAATTTCTGAACCTGAGGTCTGAGAACAGCATGGCTTTGGTGATAGATGTATCTGGAAGCATGCGTGGTGAGTCTAAACGTGTAACGTTTTCATGGTATACCTTTGGGATGTCTAGTTTCACTACAGATTAGATAAATAGTCTACCTGATATTTGCAAGTAGAATGACGCTCTTGTTTCTCAGAAAACCTCGAGCTCATTTAAGTTTGAATACAAGTGATCTCTAAATGTGTTGAATATAAGCGAAGTAACGATCTTAGCTCTACTTGTTTTTAAAATGACCGTGTACTGTAAGGAGGAAATGTGTCCCAAAATGCGAGTAATGACTGGACGTGGTTTGTCTCAATAGTTTCCTAAATAATACATACACAAAACTAGTACCTTAAAATAATAAAACAGATAAAAATAGATAACAACAACAGTTAACTCATGCATGAAAGCTAGCTGATAATCGTAAAATATGGGTTATTATCATTCGATGCCTTTTTTCCTCCCTTTTCATTGGCCAGAGCCCACTACCTGACCTGCAGATAACTACTTACAAATAATGGTCTGCTCATGCCTAATGCCGTCTAAATGTATTTTGCATTTTTGCTGCGAATAGGTTTCTGCTCCGGCGTAATTGTAGACATGCTCTTGTGTGACTCGAAATGGTCACTTCGCTGAGTTGTCAGGGAGCGATTTAATTACGAGAACAAACTTGGTGATCGAATGATAAAACAAATATTTAAGTCGGTTATCGCAAAACATCGTGATTTGTCAGTGTCTCGCAGATGACGATATTTTCCCTAAGCCTTTGGCTTCGGCAAATAATTGATCCCCTCATCCACGCGGGAGCAAAAGTGATCTTGAGAAGATCCCACAACCCATTGGCCCGACACTATCATACTGAAGAAGATTTCTTATTATTATTTAAAGTTTGTATATTAATATTATATTAACCTTACATGTAAGAAAAATACACTTTATTTTGTAAACTGTGGTGTTGTTAGGATTTCCAGCCCTGAGAAAAGCGTAAAATCACCATTGATAATTCCATTGTCACAGTGATGATATCGATGACATAATGTTTGATATCATATTTGACCCTTAAATTGTACTTAATTCACCAATCTTCGGTTATTTTCAGAAATCTTCGGTAACCTTCGAAAAATCGCTGGCAAAATTTCCAAATGTTCGGAAATGTTCGTGTGGCCTTCGGACCCGTATAGTATCTTAATTCATAACAAAGCACATGTTTCCTACACAAACATACCAAAAAGCTGTTCTGGGTTCCAGCGGCTCCCATTTGTACCCACGAAAAGTATGCATAAATCCTCAAGTCTTAGAGGCTGAAATTCGTCCGCCATATTGGATTTATCAGAGGACTGGGAACTGAATAGGAGGTTGTGGGATAAACAGATTCTCGTCCCAGGTCGGCACACACGAGGGGACAAGTCCCAGCTTGGCTCCCAGCTTGTTTTGTCAAAAATTCATGTCCTGAGGGACCTAAAGTTAGTCCCTGCGTGTCACACAGGAATTCAAACTGGCCGGTTGGAATTGAAGGTAGAAGTCCTTGGACTTACCCCTAAAACCCATTCTTGTGAGCTGTTCGTGGGACAAGTCCCTGTAACCAAATTGAAATCCAATAACAGATCCGTATGATTAACTCGACAAACTCCAATAATTCCCTACGAGCTCGGGAGGCCGATAGAGTTTAACGAAACGAAAAAAAAAACAATCGGCAACTCTGTTATCCGGAAATCGAAAACAGCGCTGAATAATTTAGCCGAAAAAGCTAAAGTTTTATTGTGCTGATTTCAGTTTCCGGAATGCTACTTTTAATTCCATTCATTTTACTTCGGGAAAGCCACAGAGGGGAAAGAATGATACCTTTTGCCCCTATTTGCTATGTTCCCGGCTGTGCAATTAGTCCCCATGTGTGAACACTGCAAGGGAAAAGTCCCTCCAACAGTTCCCTCAGATGTGAACCCTTCAAGGGACTTGTCCCGTGGACTTGTCCCCTTGTGTGTGCCGATTTAAGTGGCGTGTGTCCCTCATCCTTTGATTACAGCACCTACAGACCCATACGACTTTTAACAATTGAAATTTAAAAGAGAAGCAAATTCCGACCGAAAGTGGTATCCACATCATGGGCATTGAAATGTTTACTCACTCAAAATTACTCCCGTAAGTTTCCGGATGCAGATTATTTTCTTGATCGAACGCTTTAAAAATGAGTCATAGTCAAATCCAGACGTAGACGACACGAGGCATTGTTGACGCTTCAGTGCGCTTATTATGTCTTGAAAGCCTGATTGGTTATTGATGGTTTAAAGGAATCCTGCTGCACGCTTGACGCACATAGCCAGCTATACTCAACCACTGAACCAGGTAGCACACTTGCAGTTTAGGAGACATGAAGTCTTCAGTTCCACTAATATTCTTTCTTTTGGTGGCTTACCTCTCCCTTACTGCCAAAGCCTTTCTTCCCAGAATTAATTTGGCATCGGGGAAATTGGAAACGAAAGATCATACATTGATCACAAGACACGGATTGCTGAAGACATCAATACTCTTCTTCCGCGACAATCCGCAATATCTAAGGAATGAGACACTGACAAGCTTTCTTTTTGGTGTCTTACGTGACTTGTCAGAGAAGCCAAACGCAGCCAAATCTACCATTGACACCATCTCAGCGAAGATCAAATTCATTAACGCCATCAACGAGATTCAGAGCGCCAATGTGGAAATGGACTCTTTTCCATTGAACAGTACCGCTGCTGTCCATTTTGACGGCGAGCAGTTCTTGCGGGGATCTAAGCGGCTCCAAGATCTGCGCCAGCAGCTGATCACATCGCTTTCAAATGGCCAAAAACTACAACATGCAAGGAACTTGGCTGGGAAAGCCTTACACACACTGCAGGATTTTTACAGCCGCTCTAACTGGATAGAACTCGGCAATACATTGCCGTTTAATGCTCTGGGCCAACCCGGAAGTGTTATTTCGCAGGAAATTATCATTGCAGGCAGAACAGAACCAACTTGTAGAGACTGTCTTTCAGAGGAAGAATCCAATCTGTCCACTGATACATGCACAAATAACTTGATCACGGGGAAACTCACCAGCGGATATCGCTCAGGACAAGACATCAAGAAGCCGGTAGACATTGGAAAATGTAGTCATGGCGGCCAAACGGACGACAGTCGCCTAAAGCCAGCTACCGGTGGAATTAACAAAGATTCCTCCTCCAAGCGTGAGTCACCGCATGCCAGGTAAAGGATCATGAGAAAGAAAAACATGATTATTTATTTGGCGTCTTTACTTGTTTCTACACCACATAAAGTGCAATAAAGGAAAGCCCTACGCCTGACAAATTAAAAAGACCCATAAAAGAACCGCCTCGCTTGCTTCAGGAGCAATTCCTTTAATTTCCTAAAGAAAAATTAAACATTGTATCATGTTTAGACAGTTACTTACTCGTTGCAAAAAATACTTAAGTGATACCTAAAGGAAATAAGGAAATAAGTATTCCATCACATGACATTTTTTTGTAGGCCATTAACGATAATTATTGTTGTGTAAGCGTCCCGGGGGTATAAGCGCTCTTATTACAAATAGCATTTGTGTTTCATGCCAGGAAAAAGCAAGAAAAAAATATGAAAATTTCTTGGTCAAAATCTTTCCTAGTGTTAAATTTCTACACCACATAAAACGCAGTGAAGGATAGATTTACGCCTGATAAATCTTGTATGGACAGTCTCGCATGTTGTTGATGAAAACATCCCCGGGCGAATGGGCACAATTCCTTTCATGAAGAAATTGTTGAGCAGAAAAAAGTTAAACAATTTAGCATGTTTAGACAGTTCTTCTGTGTTTTATTACCGTATTTGTTGTAAACAGACACTCGAGTGAAACTGAAAGTGCAACGTTAACGTTTTTAATTTACAGGAAGTAGGAAGCATTTCGTGCTACAATAGACATGACTCACCTTTGTAATGGGCCATTGTTGTATAAGAGCTTTATTTTCAAATGACATATTTGTTTGCTGAAAAGGGGTCATATCGAAACCTTTCACACTAGTTTTGGAGCCTCTTGTCATTCTGCTTTTGTTTCGATAATCCAAACCTTAATTACACAACACGACTTATGCAGATCTGACAAAAACGCGAACATAAAGATTTTTCTCAGCCACTAAAACCCTTTCGAACTAATTACTCAATATAAATTGCTTAAATATTTTTAACATTAGGGGTCAGTGCAGATAAGGAGTTAAGGGGGAGCAGTCATTAGCAGGTCTTCTACTAAAGTGCTCTGTTATATTTTCATGCTTCATTACACATGTCTCAGGCTGTCCAAAACCCGTCATTTTAATATGTAAACTAGTTCCATTCAATCTTGCCCACGTAATGTTTTGACAATTTGTCATATTTTACCGTTGAAAGCATTTCTTTGTATCGTTCCCAAAGTTGCAAAGGAGAGAGTCTGGATAGGCTTACCCCCAAAGGAGCATGAAGTCGGTGCAATTGGTTTATTTCGTTGAGATTCTATATGGTTGCTAAAACCTTGCTAACCAATCGTGGCCCCCGTGAGTACGACTTCCAACCCACACCATAGCTGGAAATGATTTGTATAGTAAACCATTTTCGCTGTCAATGCTTGTTTTTATTATATGACGAAGTTAGTTCAGAGGGCTAATAACAAAAATCAACCAACCAGATTGTTCCATTGCTGGTCCAATATTCTCGAGGCGTTGGACCGGGCACCGTCCCGAATGATCCCGGACGATCACTCTTGAAGATTTTCTGTAGTTTTTGACTTACGTTTCTGAAAGAACTTGCTTCCACATAAAATATTCCTTTTCTTTGGCATCCAACTCTCTTTCTCTTCTGGTTTGTTTAACTTTAGACGTGAATACACGCCTCCACGGTTTTCCAGTCAGATCGTAGCATTTTTTCTTAACAGACCTCGGGCCGATATTAGGGAGTTTACGAAACCACGACGGCAACGGCAACGGGAACGTCACTGAACAAAAGAATTAATGGGCAGTACAATGGCTGTGCACGTACGGTATAATTCTTGGTACATTTCTTTGCCGTCCTCAGCAAAACAACAACGTGAAATGACCAAATTTTGCGTTGTCTGGAGAACGTGAACTACGTGGGCTAATTTTTTAAATTTCTGTTTCAAATTTATCGCTGTGTTCCGGATTTAGTTCTGCGATAGTTTTGACAGTGATAAACAAAGTAAATGACTTAAGAGTATCGCGAGATTCGTAGGTAAAGTATAAATTCATTTTTTAATCGACGTTGTCCTCGGCGTCGGCGTCGCGGTTTCGTAAACTCCCTATTCTCTTGGTACAGTCCTCGTGCTTGGCTAATGAGATTTATTTAGTGTCTTAACGAAAAACTAATTCATGTGAGGCAAGATTTTGCAAAGGCAGAGGGTTGTACAAGTAATATAAGGCAGAGAGGGAAATGGTAGAATCCAGAAATTGCAAGGGACCGCACATGATAAACGCTGCCAACGTAGGATCTACAAGAGATCTAATCAGCCAAAAACTGAAATGTATGAAGACAAACAATAGACTGCAAGGCTGATACTACGTGAAAAACGTTTCGAGACACCAACATGACAAGAACCGATTAAGTAGGATCGCAACAGTGGACAGCTGTTTCGCCCTTCTTGGGGCTCGTAGAACACGTTTGCCGAAGGTAAAATGGTAGAAGCTAAAATGGTAGAAGCTAAAATGGTAGAACACGTTTGCCGAAGGGGGAGGTGGGATGGGAGGGTAAAAAATTCTGCTTCTCAGAACAGCGTAATAAACTTGGCAAGAAATACTAAAAAGCGGATATATAATTTGCTTAACTAAGTAGATAAGATGACATTAATTCAGAAGCATTGAGGCGCTACAAACTTAAACATATAGGTTGCACGTGGGTTATATTCGCAGTTAATTAGACAAGAAGAATAGCGGTTCACCAAGGGTTAAGCAGTTCCACACTTCGCCGGAGAAAATTAAAAAACGCAGCTTTATTTCTACAGTTAGGCCTATCGTCCACTCTAATCCGTCACAAATCCAGAGCTTTTCGAAAATGCTCTTCAAACCGGGGGAATTTGAAAACGCCGGATTTTCGTCTTCGTGTGGAAGGAAATCATTTTGGAAACGGAGCTTTTCGAAAACGATAGCGTCACGATAATCCTGTGATTTCCCTGACAGAGTTTTCCTCAAAAACAGATCCAAAATCTCCCTGCAAGCAGAGCCTTTTCTTACGGTACATATGTTTTGTAAATAAACGATAAAGCAAAAGGAGATAAAGGAGGCTCTGCTCGCAGGGTGATCCATTTAAATTCCTCCGGCGTAGTGTGGACGGAAAAATTTGATGCGTTTTCGGAGTACGTGAAACCTCCGTTACGTTTTTAAATTACACCGGCGTAGTGTGGGTGCGGGGCCTAACATATTAATCGTCCTTTCCCTTTTTATAGCCTCCATAGAATTGCCGCTGACATGGCCATCGAAGCTAGCAGTACCTTTCTAAGTGAAGTTCGTTCTGCAGTTGGCGACGACACCTTTGCCAAATTTCTGAACCTGAAGTCTGAGAACAGCATGGCTTTGGTGATAGATGTATCTGGAAGCATGAGTGGTGAGTCTTGTGTTATTAATATTTTCATGCTATACTTTTCGGATGTCTAGTTTCCCTACAGCTAAGAAAAATAGTTTACCTAATATTTGCAAGCAGAATGACGCTCCCGTTGCTTAGAAAACCTCATTAAAGTTTGAATACAAGTGATCTCTAAATGTGTTGAACATAACGGGCAACGAAGTAACGATCTAAGCCCTCCTTGTGAGCCCGGCATGAGTTGACTGTGCATTGCAAGGAGGAAATGAGTGCCAAAATGCGAGTAATGACTGGACGTGGTTTGTCTCAATAGTTTTCGAAATAATACCTACACAAAACTGGTACCTTTAAAAAAATAAAACAGATAAAAACAACAACAGTTAGCTCCTGCATGATGACCGTAAAAATATCGGTTGTTATCATTCGATGCATTTTTTTTCTCCCTTTTCACTGGCCAGAGTCCACTACTTGACCTGCAGTTAACTGCCTACAAACATAGGCGTACGGGCACCTTCGGACTTGGGCGGGGGGAGGGGGACGGTGAGGCTATTGACCGAAAATAATTACACAATGCCCGAAAGTGTGAGTGTTGTTCATACGCACTCAAATCGCAGTGACAACAAAAACGTTCACAATTCTCATGTGTGATGAAACTGTTATAATTCCAAAAATAGTTATTTTGAAACCACGCATGCCCTATTTACCTTGATGGACAACCAGAAAAAAAAAAAAAAGAAACAGGTGATTCTACTCGTACGAAAAGTTCAAGAAAAATGCTCTTTATGCCATTCAAAACGGCTCTTTTCAGAGCCACCACAAAACAAAAGTCTTGGTCTTCGTTTGATTTGATTCTTTCGTCATTGTTTTGTTGATGGAAATAATTAATAATATCCATATTGTGGATTTCCACGATACACATTTAAACGACATGTGGCTTTTCCAGAACAGAATACCTGGATCCTGGATATCATTTGACCTTAACTCCGTTTTGACGAGGCAAACCTCAGAGAAAGTCGCCTACAAGGTTGGCCTAGACTACCTTTTAGAATGTCCTCTCCCGAATACTTTTTCCCGAAAACTTTCAAAAATTTCTCAGGCTGGGCGCCCCCGGCCCGTACGCCTATGGCTACATATAATGGTCTGCTCTTGCCTAATACTGATTAAAGGTATTTTGCTGCAACTAAAGCCTGGTTTCCATATGATCGTCCGGATCGTCCCGATCGTCCGAGTCGTCTCAAAAAATGTTCAGACGATCGGGACGATCATACGGAAACGCTACCCCGACGATCGCAAACAACGCGGACGACTGAGACGATCTCGATCGCTTGGATAGAATTGAGTTCGTGTAAATTTTGAAGCGATCATATGGAAACGCTCTCAGACGACTGAGACGATCGTGGCGATCGAAGGCTATCCCAGAAATCATCACTCGTATCCCATAACTCCTAGCTCACGTGCTCCATTTCAAAATGGCGGCAGAAAACATGGAGTTCAACTCGCCACTCTTTATGGAAGAAGTGCAAAAATTTCCCGCAATTTATAAAAAATTTTGTAAGGACTATAAGAAAAAGTTTATAAGAATGAATAATTGGAAAACAATAGGAGAGAAATTCGGCTTGGACGCGGCTGAAGCAGAAAAAAAATATATACATGAGAATGTCCGAACCGCGTATGGGCGATACTTGAGAGAAAAAACGTCTGTTCCATCTGGTTCTGGACGTGATGCTGTCCCGCCTCCAGCAGAGTTCAGTAATTTGGATTGGTTGGTGAACCACATCAACCAACGACCATCCACTGTTACAAACATGCAGAGTCGCGATGAAAGCGAAGGTGATGCGTACGGTGGCTTTAAAGGGACATACACTTTTCTCTCTCTTTTTTTTCACTTGCGACAGCTGCTATTCTCTTGCGACTTAGCTGCGACTTTCTTGCGACGTGCTACTTTCTTGCGACTTAGCTGCGACTTTTCTGCTACTTTCTTGCGACTTTCTTGCGACTTTCTTGCGACTTGCTACTTTCTTGCGACTTAGCTGCGACTTTCCTGCTACTTTCTTGCGACTTACCTGTTACTTTCTTGCGACTTAGCTGCGACTTGCTGCTTTCTTGCGACTTAGCTGCGACTTGCTGCTTTCTTGCGACTTAGCTGCGACTTCCTTGCTACTTTCTTGCGACTTAGCTGCGACTTGCTACTTTCTTGCGACTTAGCTGCCTGGCTACCTCGCTAGGCAGCTTCCGCCGGCAGGCCAGGTTGTTTTATTTGAAAACAACGTGGACTCCTATCAATAACCGGTAGTCTGTTTTGTCTTGGCTTTACAGTATAGCTACGAAGTTTTTCGCCGTTTTCACTTTTATTTCGGTGTGCTCTACGTCGCTGGCAATGCTTCCATCTTACTCTCCTGCAATAAGGAACAATGCAGTAATGCGCGACGAGATAATCGAGAACTATTTTAATCTCGGGCTTACTGCACCAGAAATCGCATTATTTCTCGTAAGTGTACATGGTATCGAGATCTCGTTAAGACAATTGAAAAGAATACTCAGACGGTTGGGATGTACAAGACGTCGACGTCGAAGTAATTTGAATGAGGTGGTGTTTCTCGGCAATGCAGCCTGGCCTGCCGTCTCACGTGGCCGAACTAGGTAGCCAAGCAGCTAAGTCGCAAGAAAGCAGCAAGTCGCAGCTAAGTCGCAGCTAAGTCGCAAGAAAGTAACAGCTAAGTCGTAAGAAAGTAGCAGGAAAGTCGCAGCTAAGTCGCAAGAAAGCAGCAAGTCGCAGCTAAGTCGCAGCTAAGTCGCAAGAAAGTAACAGGTAAGTCGCAAGAAAGTAGCAGGAAAGTCGCAGCTAAGTTGCAAGAAAGTAGCAAGTCGCAAGAAAGTAGCGGAAAAGTCGCAGCTAAGTCGCAAGAAAGTAGCAAGTCGCAAGAAAGTCGCAGCTAAGTCGCAAGAAAGTAGCAGCTACGTCGCAAGTGAAAAAAAAGAGAGATAAAAGTGTATGTCCCTTTAAAGCCACCGTACTTTGAAGCCACCGTAGATGCAGTCTTTGAAGGGATCGAGACGATCATATGGAAACCGGCAATCATCTCAGTCGTCCCGATCGTCTGAACATTTTTTGAGACGACTGGGACAATCGGGACGATCCGGACGATCATATGGAAACCAGGCTCTAGTTTCCGCATCGGCATAATTGTAAATACACTCTTGTGTGAAAAATGGCAGATCACTTCGCAGCGTTGTCAGAGAGTGATTTAAATATGAAAACAAACTTGGTGACCGAATCAGCGATAAAACAAATATTTAAGTCGGTTATTGCAAAACATCGTGATTTGTCGGTATCTCGCAGATGACGATATTTTTCCTCAGCCTTTGGCTTCGGCAAATAATTGATCCTCTCATCCACGCTGGAGCAAACCTGATCTTGAGACCATCAAACAACCCATTGGCCCCACACTATCACAATGGCGGATCCAGAATTTGAGCTAAGGGGGGGGCGGTGTTGTTTTACTTGCCCTGCCGGCTTTTCTTCCTTCAGTCATTTTTTTTTAACCCAAAATAAGGGGGGGGGGGAAGGGGGGCATGTCCCCCAGGCCCCTCCCCTAGATCCGCCACTGCTATCATAGTGAAGTAGATTTTCCTTTCAGATGAAATCAGTGACGTAAAGAAAATGTCCATCGACTTTGTTCGCAAAACTTTGGAAAAGAAAGGAGCGTCCTTCACCTATATTCTTGTGCCGTTTAGCGATCCAGGTAGGTACCAGGTAGTAATATGTTAAGTGCTACCTTTTGGCAATAACAATGCCGAAAAACTCATTTTAAACGAGGGTGTAATTCGAACGAGGGTCGGCTCACCAATGGCTTGGATAGCCCGGTTTGATTTCTCTTTCCTTTTTAGAAATTAGCCATATCAACTACACGAGCCGTGACGCTTCCAAACAGAAAGTGTGCTGTTGTCAACAAGAACATAATTAAACCACAGGAGGGGTGCCCGCGGGCTTGGCTGACTGAATCAGAAAAAAAAGTCGTCCTTTTCTCGGATTAGGGGTATATTTGTCTGGCTGGCAAAAGGTTTGTTAGGAATGATTTCAGATGAGTTGAGAACGACACTATTATTGTGTTGTTTGGTTTGAGATTTTGGCACATTGTGACCTAACCCCCAACGAAGGGTTAAAATTTTGGGTCCCCACCTCCTCACTGAAGGGCTGAATTTGTCTCTGATGCCAACTACAGGTGTAAAATTAAACCTAATGCTATCTCTTGTTGAGATTTTAGAAATAAAGAGGATGATTTGTTGCTGGCAGGCTGGGAAGTTTTGAAAGACCCTACTGGAAAATGGAGCTTCAGACACGTTTCCCCTGAGAGTGTGGAACAGCTAAGACAATCTTTCAGTAGAATATTGTTCGCTGATGGATCTTATGAAATTAGCACGTTGGGTGGCGCTGGAGAACTGTTCTTGTCATTTGTCAGAAATACATAAAAACACCTTCAGTTTGTACGTATTAAACAAAGCTGTCTTGTTTTTCTTTTTGGTTCCTTATAGACGTAGGGCCTGTGACTGTGACTAGCGATGCGGAAGTAGTGATTGAAGCAGTCAACAATTTAACCGCAAATGGTGGAGGAGATTGCCCAGAGCTAGGCATGACGGGTCTTTACCAGGCNGATGTTAAATGTTGCCTTTTAGCAATAACGATGCTTACCGATGGTATGAATAACCCGGTTCGATTTCTCTTGCTTTTTTCGAAATTAGCCATATCAACTACACGAGATGACGCTTCCAAACAGAAAGTGTGCGGTTGTCAACAAAGACATAATTAAACCACAGGCCGGGTGCCCGGCTTGGCTGGCTGAAAGAAAAAAAAAAAATCATCTTTTTCTCGGATTAGAGGTATATTTGTTTGGCTGGCAAAAGGTTTAATTGTTAGGAATGATTTCAGATGAATTGAGAACGACACTATTAGTGTGTCGTTTGGTTTGAGATTTTGGCACATTGTGACCTAATCCCTAACGAAGGGCTAAAATTTTGGGTCCCCATCTCCCCACTGAAGAGCTTAATTTGTCACTGATATGCCAACTTAACGTGTAAAATTAAACCTAATACTATCTCTTGTTGAGATTTTAGAAATAAAGAGAATGATTTGTTGTTGGCTGGCTGGATACGTTTCCCTGAGAGTGTGGAACAGCTAAGAGAATCTTTCAGTAGAATATTGTTCGCTGATGGATCTTATGCAATTAGCTCGTTGGGTGGTAGACTCCGAGCAGTCCCTCTTTCGCTTTGTGCGTCGTGAGTGACGCGAAAGAAAACTGCGAGAGAAAAATGGCCGCGCGAAATCCTAGGGCCAAGATTTCACGCTGCCTTTGCTTTTTCTTGCAGTTTTCTTTCACGTCATGCACGACGGACAAAGCGAAAGAGGGACTACGCGTGGTATAATTGGGTGGCGCTGAAGAACTGTTCTTGTCATTTGTCAGAAGTCCATGATAGCGCCTTTATACGTATTTAACAAAGCTATGTCTTCTTGTTTTTCTTTTTGGTTCCTTATAGACGTAGGACCTGTGACTGTGACTAGCGATGCGAAAGTAGTGATTGAAGCAGTCAACAATTTATCCGCAAAAGGTGGAGGAGATTGCCCAGAGCTAGGCATGACGGGTCTTTACCAGGCTCTACTCCACTGCTTACCCGAGAGCAACATCCTTTACTTCTCCGATGCTGACGTAAAAGACGAGTCGCGAAAAAACGAAGTCGAATCCCTAGCTAAGGAAAAGAAAGCAAGGATCAAATTCATTCTAACCGGTCAATGTAGTCGTCGACGCAGACGCTATTTGTCGCAAAGCCGCACCCAGCGTTCATCAGTGGCACACCGGGCTAGGAGAAGTGTCCAAGGTCAAGCGTTGTACCAGGACCTCGCTACCCAAACAGGAGGACAAGTATTGAAAACTAGTAAGGCTGCAGTAGCTGAGATTGTAAAGGTTATCGATCCTGTAAGTTTCTCAAACTCATCAGCAGATTTGAAAGAAGTTGGATTGCTGAACGTTGACGAATCTCGAGCGCAGTCCTTCAGTGGTGACATTTACTTTGTGGATATTGACAGCACGCTGGAAAGTTTGGTCCTCATACTCACGGCTGCAAGTTTACCTACATTACAAATCACGAGCGTTCAAGGTAAGCGAGAGAGTAAAGTTAAAATAGACAGCGCCATTGTGTGTTTGTATAATTTCAAGTTAAACTGAAAAATACCGCCCACTTTGTAAAAGCCCAGTGAATATAATTCTTGACAACTTATAGGAACCCATCAGTTATTTAGCATCATAATCAGAAAAAGAGGATTGAAAACTTGGAAACGGAGCTTTGCTGCTAACCTTTGTGTTAGTAGAGACAGCTGCTTAATAGACTGCTAACGTCTAATTTCTTCTTCTGTTATGTCACGAAGCCACGAAACCATAATAGTTACAACTCTCGAGAGCTGGGAAGTGAATAGCGAACACTATTCCGAGTTAGAGTAGCCAATCAGAATGCGCGAAAAGCACCTATCCACTGGTTTGGTATATGTTATTTCATATTACCCTCACCCGGCA